AGGCCCCGAGCACCCTGGATTGTGCACCCCCTCCCCACCAGAAAAAAAAAAAATCCAGAAGAAAACAGAAGAATAAGAAAATCCTGTCCCTGGGGCTAGAGAGATAATAAAGCTGGCAGAACATTTGCCTTGCATATGGCTGACCTGGGTTCAATCCTCAGCATCTTTATAATGCCCCGAACCCTACTAGATGTGATCCCTGAGTGCAGAGCCAGAAGGAAACCCCAAGCACAACACAACTGGATGTGGTCCAAAAACCTAAAACAAAACAAATTAAAAAAAAAAAAAGAAAATCCGGTCCATTCAATCAGTGAAAATTAGTTCTAACGTAGGACTTTCCTAAAGAATCAATAAGAAACAAAGTAAAATCAAAAGTGATCACTGGATTTTGATTCCTGAACTGAAGGAGGGGGGATGGTAAAGAATATGGGTGTCTGATGGACTGTGGGGGTGGAAGTGGTAAAATATATTTGAAGACTGTGAAATTCTCCTTTTATGTGTATGTATGTGCATATGATTCTAAAATTTTTATTTTGGTCCTCCAAATGGTGCTCAGGAGAACTGGGGGATATTCCAAATGGTACTGGGACAGCTGGGTCTGAGTTTCATGCTAGAGCCTGAGATGGTTGTGTGTTCGGATCCTAAAGTGCCAAAATGCTACCAGAGCCATCTGGTTCAGGTTTCAAGAAATTTTATATTAGCAAAATGCAAACTTCAAAAAACAAATGGGAGGATAACAATATTGATAAAAGAATTTAAAACTGCCAAGAAAATAAAAATCAATTAGTAAGAAGGATTAGAGAGCAAGTGTAAGAGGTAATAAGACACTCTATAGTCAGAAGAAAAAAATAATAGAACAGATAGTATTCAAAATAATACAAAAATTCTCTGGAATAACTTGAATCTGCACATCAAAAGGGTCTCTTGTGAACCTAGGGGAATTCTTAGGGAATGGTCAAATTGATCTTAGAAAATCAAGTTTGAGGGGTCAGAGTTGTTGGCAGAATACTTGTCTTGCACACAACTGACCTCAGCATCCATTTGGTCCCCAGGACACTGCCAGGAGTAATACCTGAGTGCAGAGCCAGGAGTGACATCATAGTATTGCTGGTTGTGGCCCAAATTCCATTCCTCACCATCAGAAAAAAGAAGAAAAATCAAAAATCAAGTTTGAGTGGTCTGAGAGGTAACACAGTGGGAAACTTGGGTTCAATTCCCAGCACCATAATATGGTCCCTGAAGCCTGCTCAGGGATCACTTCCAACCAGCAGTAAGCTCTGAGCAGGGTCAGGTGAGGCCCCAAAACATGAAAGAAAAGATCCTCTCCATATTAGGTTAAAAAAAAAATAAAAAAGAGTAACAAGTTAAAAAGACTCTCAGATGTCAGATTGGAATCACTTCACAATACATAGAAAATCAATGTAAAAGGAATGTGAACTAAGAGTAGCTAGGCTGCTTAAATATACAAAACCTCAGAATACTATACTGAGTATGAACTTCAACCAGCAAAGCACTGGCGAGAAATTCTGAAAACATTAAGGTCTCATAAGGAAATGTAAAAAAAAAAACAAACAAAAACATAGGGGCTGGGGCAATAGCACAGCGGGTAGGATGTTTGCCTTGCACGCAGCCAACCTGGGTTCAATTCCCAGCATCCTATATGGTCCCCTGAGCACTGCCAGGAGTAAATCCTGAGTGCAGAGCCAGGAGTAACCCCTGTGCATTGCCAGGTGTGACCCAAAAAGAAAAACAAAACAAAACAAAAAACATAAAGTTGAGCACAGAATATATGAAGTATAGCTATCCAAGTCAAAGGGAGTAACAAAAGGAGAAAATATGCTGTTTTCTAAAACCATGATTGAAAATAAACTAAATCTAAACATGACCAAATAATTGGGGGAGGGAAAAGCAGAATAACTGAGGGAGTCAATATAGAGCTGACAAACGAGGGAGACCAAAAAGGAAAAGGAATCGAGACAGCAGCAGATTCAAGTTTTTTTTCTTTTTGGGCCACACCCAGCGATGCTCAGGGGTTATTCCTGGCTTTGCACTCAGAAATTATTCCTGGAGGTCCTTGGGGGACCATATGGGATGCCAGAGATTGAACCCAGGTCGGCCGCGTGCAAGGCAAACACCCTACCCGCTGTGCTATCACTCCGGCCCCCAGATTCAAATATTAAAGGGCGGGCTGGGGGCGGGGGGGGGGGGGAGTTATCAAACACCGCAAGTGTTTCTAAACAAGTTTTTGTTTCTTAACACCACAAAATGCTTTGGGTTCATCTCCATTTCCTACCCCAGTCCTAGTTTCCTACATTTCTGCAAGGAGCCTGGGTTCTGGGTAGAAAGGGAGCTCAACACTGGTTAAAATCCCTGTTGTCTGTGGGGCTTCAAGCAAGTGGTTTCAAAAATTCCTCTGAAGCTGATTATCCAGAAAATGAAAAAAAAACAGCAAAGTTGGCAAAAGGACTGGACAGCACCCGCGGGCCTCAAACCATCAGTGATTATAGAACCTTGAGCTCCATATGCCAAAGTAACCACTGAGCTAAAGCCAGTCCAGACTTCATACACAGATTGCAGTTCCTAGACTGCCAGGAAGTACTGCGTCATAATGAGCTAATTGAGATGACTCAGATGACCCAGTACAATTAAAGTCCTGTATGAAGCCTCCCTTCCGCCAAACTTGAGTGATTGACACAGAACTGAAGACCTAGGCAAGCAACTCCTGCATACACACAGTCTCAATATGTCAATAGCTGCATTATTCAGATACAAATGTTCTTCTTAAAAAAAAAAAAAACTCTTTCACTGTGACAAAACTATAGAGACATTTATATACATACAGGTGGCTGCAGTTTTCAGAATTAGCTGTGTCGGCAGTCTTCGCACTGCAATTCTGGGAGAATCAGGAATGGACTCAACTGAAGTTTGTGCCCTGCCTGTGAAGGACTTCAGCAAGAGGTGAGGGGGTCCTTGGGAACTTAGTTTTTGGTTGTAGTTCTGGGAGAGATGTGGGAAGCCTCAAGCTGTAAAATTACAGGAATCTTGTTGCCTGAATATAGCACTCTCCAGAACTTTATGATAGTGCTAGTAAAATGCATGAATTGAAATTTTTTAGTTTTTGGGCCACACCTGGCAGTTAACTCAGGGCTTATTCCCAGCTTTATGCTGAGGCCAGGTCATTGCATGCAAGGTGAACACCTTACCCCATGCTGTTATCACTCCAATTCTTATCCCAGATCTAGTACCAAGGCCTAGAAAATGCTGATTTTGTCCGCACTCACTCACTGATCACATAAAGGCCCATCACGGAGAAATTCCTTAACCAGGCAGGATTAGGCCTAGGGATTTTAGAAAGACCATAAACACGCAAGTTTATGTCCCAGATATTTCTGAGTCTTTGGGAATACTCTGGACTCCTACATTTCCATCCCCTTGTCTTGGTTACTACCTAGAACCCCATCAAAACTTTCACTTAGACATGCACTTTGAAGACTCAAATACTCTGCCAGTTCCATGAAAATTCAAAAAACATGCAATTCAGAACTACTTTTGGATAGAACTAGAGATAAAATTTCAGAGGGTCACTGGAAGTCAAGTTAGTTTCCGGTAAAATTAACTCTAATCCATAGAACTCAAATCATGATACATTCCCCAGTCAGCCTGGGATACAGAGCAAAAGCACCCCATTGACCAGGGTGTTCCCAAGGATCTGGAGCACATATCAGTCCAAGAAAAGCCCCCATAATATGCCCTAAATCTGACAACAAATATTTACGTAGGAGAAACTTGGAATCAGATCTTGAACCGGTAGTGAAGGCACTTCAGTGTTCCCAGTGGCAAGAGTCGGCATTAGAAATTAAACTAGGCAGAGCCAAAGAGATAGTATAGGGTGCTTGCCTTACAAGTGGCAATGTTTGAATCCCTGGCACTACATGGTCCCCAGAACAGACCCAGAAGCCCTGCAAACTGCTGGGTGGCCCCAAAAGCAAAGTAAATAAATTAAGAAAAAGGCATGTCTGACAGAGTTCAAAGGGAAATACAATACTTTGAAGGATCCACAAATGTTCAGATGCTAAAGATGCGCAAGGAATTAGCTGAGGTAGAGAATATAAACAAACCATATTGTTCTGGTGTGCTCTAAAAGAGCACGATTTACAGGGTACAGAACCAAGTCATGTTGGTTCATAACCTCACAAAATCATTCATCTACTTTAAGTTTGTCTTTTGTTTTAAGGTACTGTTTTTTCTTTCTGCTGCATCACTGGTACACACACAGTATCAATGCAGTGATCATTGTTTTATTATATAACTAATTTGCCACCTGATCCTTGGGTTATCCCAAAGTCAGCTCCAAGTGGTTCTCCAGGGCCATGCAGAAAGATCTTGGCCCATCCCATACCATGCCCCACCTTGCCCCCTTCTAGGAACATGCAAATCTTTGTCATTTGGGGACAGAGAGACAGTATAGCAGGTTAACGCACTCGTTTTGAACGCAGCTGACCTGCATTCACGTTCAATCCCCAGTATCCCAAATGATCTCCTGAGCACCATCAGGAGCAATTCCTGAGTGCAGAGCCAACAGTAAGCGCTGAGCACTGCCAGGTGTAGCCCAGTAACAGTAACAAACAGAAAAAAAAAATTGTTATAACTTGGGGAGAGGACACTAATAGCATCTAGTGGAAAGGCCAGAAAAAAAGGGACCCCCAACAACAAAAAATTATCCAGCCTAAAATGTAAAATAGGGCAATAATTATAGATACTACTTGAAAACACAAAATTGACCCTGATCTCCGATGTTGAAGAAACAAATCAAAGGAAGCTGTAGTTTTTTAAAAGTTTTGTTCAGGCTCCTCTGGAAACATCTTCTCACAGGAAAATACAATTCGTGCTGAGAAAATCTAGGCAGAAAAAGTGATAGGACGCAAATGAAGGGAAAAGAAAAACTTCTACCTGGCAGTCCTCTGTGTGAAAAGGAAAACCAATACACAGGGAAGAACATGGACTGTTCGCACCAAAGGTGAAAGAGGCTCAGTCAATGCCATTTATTTTACACGTTGAACAGCCTCTGAGACCGTTCCCATGAGGTTTTTTTCTTTTTTGCATCAAACAGGTTCTTCCAAGAACCTACTCACAAAGAAGACAACGTAATCCTTAATAAAATAAAACAAACAGGAAAAGTCTACATCTGAAAAACACAGATTAAAAACTCACCCAACACAAAGCACACCAGGCACTCGTCCCATTTAATTTTCTGTTACATGCTCTGAGGAAGCCCAGAACGTAAGAACCCCAAGGCAGCAATGCTCTGAGGTCATGGCTCAAGCTCCCTCTATGTGACAGATTCATGCACACACCCCCACACACACCACTGACTCAGGCAGAAGTACACATGCATGCACAGGTGGCCAGAGAACCACAGGAGGGATGCAAGAAAGGGAGGGCTCTCCACTGGAAACAGGGAACCCGAAGGATGTTTCCAATGCGGGCTGAGCAAAAGTCAGAGTCAAATAAAGGCTGAACGCCGGATAAAAGTAGAATGCTCAGAGAAGAGACTGGAGAGATGAAGAGAGAAAGATGCAGGGGGAATTTTGGGAAAATAGCCTCAGAAAAGGTTTTTCTTTATTGGGAACTCGGGTGGGCAGAGGGCCTGTGACTCCAGCGATAGACTGAGGAATGACACCACAGCTTACCTCTGCAGCCTGTCCCCTCTCCCAAGGTGGAGGGACCAAGAACACACCCTCCCTCTAGTTCTCCCCACTGTCACTCGTATGGCCTTTCCCCAGGTACTTGCCCACAAATGACCCCCACCCTCCACACACACATAGACAGGTCCATCAAAGGCCAAGCACAGGCGCCTCAGTAACTCTTCTTGGTGGAACCAAAGCCAGAGAAGCCCATCACAGCTGCCATCTCATCATCCTCCTCAAATGTCAAGTCCTCCTCCGCTCTCCTTTTCTTTTCCTTCTGTTTCTCTTTCTTGTAGGCTTTGGCCTTTTCCTCCTGGGGGGGGGAGGGGGAAATCATGCACCATCAGTTCAGACTCCTGAGCCAAATGCTGTTTAAAGACAGATGAGCGTCTTTTTGGTTTGGGGCCACACCCAGTGATTCTCAGAAGTTACTCCTGGCTCTGCGCTCAGGAAGCACTCCTGAAGGTGCTCTCGGAGACCATATGGGATGCTGGGATTCAAACCAGGATCGGTCATGTGCAAGATAAGGACCCTACTAGCTGTACTATTGGCTCTGGTCCCCAAGATTCCTATTTTAAAAGAAAAGAGCTAAAAACAAATGAAATCTCAACAGCAGCAGAAAGGCTACAGTAAAGATTCTGAGGGACTAGGGACTGGGGAGAATTTAAAAGGGCTAGAGTACAAAGCTCTGAGAGCATGTCTGACTCCTGTACCCCAGAATATCTCTGGGAGGTTTTTGCAGTGGAGGGTGAGGGGTTGCGTGGAGGCACACTACATTCTGGCACAAGTACGATATATGCCAGGAACTGTTTTCAGTGGAGTAAAGGTATTATACCAATGGATACAGAGAAGATCTATAACTTGCCCAAAATTTAATCAGTAGGTAAAGTAAAACACCTGCTCCAGTCAGCTTGCTTCTATGGGCCTCTTGAGACTAGGCCCCTTAGTTAATACCTCCCGTAGGAAACAAAATTATAGCCCAGAGAGTCTATGGAGAAAGGGTACATTTGAAGCCATTTCTTTCACATCACAAGTCCCAAACTAGGATTAGAAACTTGTCCAGGGGCTGGAGTGATAACACAACAGGTAGGGCATTTGCCTTGCACGAGGCCGACCCAGGTTCGATTCCCAGTATCCCATATGGTCCCCCAAGCACTGCCAGAAGTAATTCCTGAGTGCAGAGCCAGGAGTAACCCCTGTGCTTAGCTGGGTGTGGCCCAAAAGGAAACAGAAAACAAAAAACATCGCTAATGTACAGAAATTTAACGAATCTCTGGGGGAAGAGGATAAGAAAGAGAACCTCCCATGAGTCCTTATATAAAATTCGTGACTGCAGGAGCAAAGGGAAAGGACAGTAGAGCATTTACTTCTTCTCTGAGCTCCTTCATCCTTTCCTCAAAATCATAATCTTTCTGTTTCTCTTCCATCTTCTTCTTATTGACTTCAAACCGTTTCTTCACTTGATCCAAGGTAGAACGTTCCACCCTCATAGACATGCCCAGGTTCCGCTGATCTAGGTGGAACAACAAAGAAGACAAGGTCACTACAATATCCTCATCCCCGAGATACTCTTTTTCTGACACTTAAAAAAGAGAAATCTCAGGGCATCAAAGTGATAGTACAGTGGGTGGAACACTTGCCTTGCACGAGGCTGACCCAAGGTTTGATCACAGGTACCCCAAGTGGTCCCCCAAGCACTGCCAGGAGTAATCCGGAAGCTCAGAGCCAGGAGAAAACCTTGAGCACCAACAGATGTGGCTCCTCCGCCCCCACCCCCCAAAAAAGAACAAAAAGGAAAATATTTTATACACCATACCAAAAAAAAAAAAAAAGCAATCTTGGGTGAAGACTCCTTTGAATTTACTTGCTCACAGAAGCAGCAGCTCCAGATAACAAGAAGCAAGAGCAAGAGGCTTTCAACTACCTTCACAGAGCAGATGCACACCAGAGACAGGGAGCCCAGGAGATAACTGGCTCTAGTTTGCTGGGTCCAAGAGCAGTGACTCACCTCATGGTTGAGAAACAATAGAACAGTATTTCCCTAAGTGGAGACACCAGGTGGGAGGTAGTAGTCTCGGGTGCAACCAGAGGTGCTATTTACTTAAAAAGTAAATTTCACAGTGGGGAGGACATATGCTTTGCACACAACCGACCCGTGGCATCCCATATGGTCCCCCAAGTACTGCCAGGAGTAATTCCTGAGTACAGAACAGGAGCAACCCCTGAGCATCACTGGGTGTGACACAAAAAGGAAAAAAAAGAGTAAATTTCAGGGGGCTGGAACAATAGTATAGTGGGAAGGGCGCTTGCCTTGCATGTGGCGAACCTGAGTTTGATCCCCAGCATCCCATATGGTCCTGTAAGCACTGCCAGGAGTGATCCCTGAGCACAGAGCCAGGAACTAAGCCCTGAGCACCTCAGTGTGTCCCCAAAAAAAGTAAATTTGGGGGGTTGAAGCCATAGTACAGTGGGTAAGGCATTTGCCTTGAACGTGGCCAACCCAGGTTCAATCCCTGGCATCCTATATGGTCCCCTGACACCCCTGGAGGTGATCGCTGAGTGCACTGGTAGTGTAATCCAAAAACCCGGGGGTGGAGGGGAGGGAAATTTTTGGGCGAGAGCGGTATTACAATGGATAGGCCTCTTGCCTTACATGAAGCCAACCTGGGTTCAAGCCTCAGCATCCCATGTGGTCAAATGGTCCCCTAAGCCAGTCAGAAGAAAGCCCTGAACACAGCTGCAGGTAGTTCAAACATAAAACATAACTAAGTAAATTTCTGAGGATACTGAATCATTTATTTTTCCCCTTGAAAGGGGACAGGAGGCCACATACATTTGGGAATCTCTCCATTAGATAATGAAGTAAAGACTGACCTGGGATAAAGCAACTGGAAACTCACAACCATAAAACAAAGTGTTTAAAGGAATCACCCTCCCAGAGTCCTACCTCCCACAATTTTGCCCACAAACTATCTCCACCCCTTACGTTTCTTTCCATTGATGTGATCCAAAAAGTTGATGGAGTCCTTCACCACACAGTCGCAGACATTGCAGTAATATCTAGCAAACAGAAATAACAGTTTATGAAATCTGGGTATAAGAATCTTATGACTTTCAATTAATAAATTCATACTTTAGGTGAATTTTTAAAGAAAAGGCATTTTCTCAAGTTGGAGAGATAGTACAGCATTTAAGGCGCTTGCATGATCCCCAAGCTCCACCAGCAGTGATCCCTGCGCACAGAGCCAGGAGTAAGCTAGGTGTGCCCCCCAAACAAGGACATTTTCTCATTTTCATAAAGTTTAAGCTCTCAGAACACAGTACTAGCCAACATCCAGAATGCCTTCACAATGACACCTACTCTCCTGAAAATTCTTCCTATCCTGTGCAGTCCCCTCCCAATTTGCATCAGACTTGGTCAGTTCCCAATACATACAGCAATAATGATAGACATCACTTCCAATATTAGATTATTTTTAAATGAGGCTTTTGTATTAGTCTGCTGGTGTGGATCACTTGCATTGGGGAGAACACTTTGTTATGAGCAGAGCTAGAAAGAGGCCCATGGAGCAAAGAACTAAGTTTCTAAACCACCGCTTACTCCACATTTACTCCTTCAATCCCACTTACACCCAGATGAAGGCAGATCCAGAAGACTCCTGGATTGCAACTTTTTTTTTTTTTTTTTTTTTTGCTTTTTGGATCATACCCAGCAATGCTCAGGGGTTACTCCTAGCTCTGCACTCAGGAATTACTCCTGGAGATGCTTTGGGGACCATATGGGATGCTGGGAATCGAACCTGGGTCGGCCGCGTGCAAGGCAAACGCCCTACCCGCTGTGCTATCGCTCCAGACCCTGGATTGCAACTTTCTAAGCTAGACCCCTTACCCACAAACATTGTGAGTTACTTGTTTCATGCTACATTTGAGAGGAAATTCACCGCAATAGATGAATACTAGAGAGAAGAATAACAACAGCTCATTTAATATTCAACTCAGAAAAGTGGTATTCGTTGCTGTGTTGTACTCCTCATGGGAGAACTAGATGCAAATGCAGTGGTGGGAGGTGGGAGAAGCTGTGGATACCCTTTCTCCCAGGTCAGAGTCTTGGTCCAGGAGGAAGATATACAACCAGGTTATCCATAATGACAACAGCATTTGAAGGCTCTGGAATCTCAACACTATTAACCATCAATAGTTCCCAGGTTCCATTTTAGCCCCAATCTCTTCCCTAGAAATATCTTCAGCAATCCTTTCTATTACTTCTTTCTCTGTGAGGGGATGGAATAACCCTTTATAAGATATTCTGTAATTGCGGCATGCTAATATGAAGAAATCTACAAACCAATTGCTCTTAGATATAATATTGGTGTTAACCTGAGAAATGAGATACAAATTTTAAAAACCTGGGTCAAAAAAAAAATAGCAGAAAGGCATGTATGTTCTACATGCAGGAGCCCTACTTCAATCCCAGGTACTACAAAGTTCCCTGCTCACAAAGCCAGGATTAGCCCTGTTTTAGTGTGGCACCAAAACAAAAGCCAACAAGTATCTAAGGATGGAGTTACAGGTTATTTTGGCAGTTGCAGGGACTTCCTCAGTAATTTCTAAAGCCAACATAATTTATGACACCTCCTCTTGGCTGTAGAAAAGGAGGAAAGTCACTCACCCGCCCATCTCAGATTGTGGTGTGGTTTTGGTAATAACAATTGTCTTCCCAAGCTTCGATTCCAAGTCCACTTTGTAGTCCCTATGTCGGAGAAGCTCCCGCTTGACTGGCTGCACTGGTTTTCCTGAAACATAATAAAGGAGGAGACCCATTCGATGCTATCTCTTGAGCTAGAAAGGAAATGAAAGTCAAGAAAGCTAGAATCCAGAGGACAACCCTCATTTCTGTTTTGAAATCTTAAGAAGTGGAACAATACTTTGTTATCTATAATACTTTATTATCTATAGCTTTTCTCCACTTTAAATAAGGCATAGGCTGGAGTAGCTAATAGGCCTAGTATCTGTCTCCCAATCCACCCCAAGAGAAACTCTGAGCACAGAGCTGTCAGTGGTCCCCAAGCAGAACTAAGTGTGACACTTCGCCCTCAACCTCTGCCAAAAAAAAAAAAAAGGAAAGGAAACAAAGGTCAAAAGCAGTCAGTTTTCTATGAACTGAATGAAATAATGAGAGATGCCCTAAAGTTTCACAAAAAGTCACTTTCAAAAGAGTAGGCAGGGGCTGGAACGATAGTACAGAGCATAGGGCGTTTGACTTGCACGTGGTCAACTCGGGTTGGGTTTCCAGCATCCCCTATGGTCCCCTGAGAACCGCCAGGAGTAATTCCTGAGTGCAAAATCAGGAGTAACCCCTGTATATCGATGGGTGTGACCCAAAAAGAAAAAAAAAAGAGTAGACACTCTCTACAGTAAAACTTTCAGACACCCCAAATACAACACAGAAAGGAACCTTCTGAGAGCTAGAAGGATTTTTTTTTTAAAGCAGACCCCAACCCCTGCTACTTGTCAAGCTCTATTAGTTGAGTTAAAAAGAAGCTGAAAGGGTAAGTGTGTAAGATGTGGAAGCAGACAAAGAACATACTCATGTAAAACCTGGTGAGAAACTTAAGACTTTGCTTTTTGTAAAGTGGAACATCTATGAAGGTGGAGTACCGACTCCCTGGCATTGCACCAGGCCCAGAGAAGAGCACTGGGGGTCAGTGGCTGGAAGAATCCCACTTCCGGAGAGAACCCCAGCTCTCCAGGCGCGAGGGAAGGTTTTGGTTGGGCCAGCAAAGTTCTCCCGCTTACGTAATTTTAATTAAGGAAAGGAGTGGTGTTGGGTCTTTAAAACCTGCCGGCCCTCACTACTCTGAGCTCCTACCAACGAACCGCATCTGCTCGGACTTCAGCCAAGTCCGTTAAAGGGCACAGGCAAAGAGAGGGAAGAAGTAGCGGGCACAACGCTGGAAAGCACCTCAAAACCACTAGAGCCACCTTCTCGGTTCACTTAGGCCCGGAGCAGCGTAGGCAACACCGGGCACAGTCGCCGAATCCGCTCCCTCCCGCCCTGCAGCCACCGCGTCACCCTTGAGATTGGCCCCTGAGGGGCAGGACCCACCATCCTTCTTTTCTCTTTCTTCCGTGAGCCTCTTCTCCGCGAGTTTCTCGTATTCATCTTTGTCCCACTTTCGGCGAAAGTCAAAGTTTTTCGTCTGTAGGGAAAAAAGCTCTCAAGATTCGTCGCTAATCGTGAGCGAACCCCTAGAGAAACGCAAGAGAACCCTTTCCTCCCGGTCTAGGTGGTCTGGGGACCTTCCAAGCGCGCAGCTTCTCCGGGCCACCCCGGAGGCTGAGCTGGCCTTAGGACCCAAAGTTAGAACCTCTGCGACTCCGATGACTTCGTGCTAGGACCCACGGGGACCCCTCAAGACCGGACCCCGGAACCACTAAGAGGTGTGCGTAAGGTAGGGACAGGTTATTCCACGCCGAGAATCCAAGCGCTACACCTCCGAAGTCGCCTCACACACACTTACCCCACTGCCCGACGCCATCTTCACTGCGAAGTGAATGGGAAGCTGAAAAATGCCGTAAAATGCAGCCTTCAGCCGTAAAGCAAGCTCGCCATCCAATAAGCTTAGAACCTCGAGTTCTAAGGGCGCTAATAATTGGAGGGTTCTAAAAACAGGCTTTCTTGACCCCGCCTCTACCCCAAGAAAATGACGCATGCGCAGCAGGAGTCTGAAGCAACGCGGAAGTAAGGGCACCACAAACGAGGTCGTGATTGGGATTTTGTTTATTTTTCCTTTTTTTGGATTTTCAATCAAGTTTTCAGACAGCTAATAGATTTGCTTCAACTCGTCTATTTTAAAAACGAGGAATCTAGTATTGTTATCTAGAGTAGTGAACTCTGCGTGTGCTGCCACGATTTTCTGAATCTTAAAGCAAAAGTAGGGTTACCTGGAGATTCTAGATGTCTTGCACACCTGAATGCACTAGAGTTAAGGCTTGACATGTTTACCTTCCAGATCCACGTTCGGAAAGTGCTTATTTCCAGTAGGTATTTCTTTCCTTTTTCTTCTCCTTTTTTTTTAAAGTAGTGCTATATTTTAACTAATTTTATCCTTTAACAGAAAGCCACTTACAGTCATTCAACCTATAGGGCACAATTTATCAACATTATTTGACTTAAGAGGGCTGGAATGATAGCAAAGTGGTAGGGTGTTTGCCTTACAAGCAGCCAACATGGCCGACCCGAGTTCGGTTCCTCCGCCCCTCTCGGAGAGCCAGGCAAGCTACCGAGAGTTATCTCACCCAGACGACAGAGCCTGGCAAGCTAGCCGTGACATACTCGATATGCCAAACAAAGTAACAAGTCTCATGATGGAGACCATTACTGGACCCGCTCGAGCAAATCGATGAACAACGGGAGGACCCTGACGGTGATTTGACTTAAGAATGGCAGTTATCAGCAACACTTTAGGGTAGTGAGCTCTGGCAGATGGTTCACTGTATGTGAACTTTCAATGACATGACTATGTCCAAGTTGGGGAGAAGGAAACAGGGAACCAGAGGCTGAGCTCCTTAATTGGATACAGAAGCTTCAGCCCAGCAAGGTTCCAACCAACTCACAGAAGTCTTCAGAGTACTCAGATGTTTATGGTCTATGCGAACCAAATCCTTGATAACGAATTATGCAAACTTCTACATTTAGTATTTTATTTAACACATCCAGCCACTTCTACAAAATCTATCATAGCAGGAAATAAAGTAGTAGAAGTGATTCTGGCACACCAAATGGTAACCAAAACATTAAAAAATCAGACCTCGAATGTATCAGGTCACCAATTAAGTCTATCATTCACTATTACTGAACAGACAGTCTCACCTTGCTATTATTAATAGTGGATGGGTAGGGAGATTATACATCTATATAGGTACTGTTACTTCATTGGGATGGCATCTCTTGGTTTGCATCCTCAAACATATCAGAAGCAGCCACTATTCCTCACTATCTCCCTGAAACTCACTGAACAGAACAAGGATAGGATATGGATAATTTCCCCCACAATCTTCTTCAGAAGTTACTTTTGCCAGGCTAAATATCTGGCTTCTGATGTATGCATCAGAAGTCTCTTAGCCTGAGGAGAGTTTCTCAGAGCCTTGCTCAGAACAACCATCTTAACACCACTTAGTGGCATTCAGTAGCATTCAAATCTGCATCTGCCTCAGCAGAGAGAGCATGTCTTTTTTACATTGCAGTCATCTGTGCACCCACAAGACAGCTGCTCACACTCGCCCAAGAATCATCAGGGCTGTCAACAGTTCTGTACCCAGGAAGGACGGAGGAGGTAGAAGGCACTTGTCACTCATCCTGGCCAGATGTTGTTGCAAAGTCAGGAACTTGACCTTTGATGAAGGTTTCATTTTTTTTTTCAATAAAACGCAGCAGATGGCAATCAGGGGAGGATTAAGATTCAGATAGTCGCTTCTGAATTTCAATCACAAGGTTTTCACGTTTAACAGCCACCTGAAACATAAGAACAGCCTTCATGTGACAAACTAGGGTGATACTAGCTTCTCAGCTACTACTTTTTTAGATTGTATTGGACATCTGCTCTATCACTTATGCCACTAGAAGTAGATGACTTCAAGCTTACCTGGAGAATGCATATCCTCAAGATAAAAGAGATTTTGGTAAAGGGCTGCAGTGCATGCTTTGCATGGACTGGGCTCTGGGTTCAATGTGCATAACCTTCCAAGCACTGCTAGGTACAGCCTGAGAGGCCCCCAACACTGCTTGGGAGCTATCTCTCCCCTTCCCTCAAAAAGAGTAAAGAGTCAAGCTTTTGACACATGGTTATTTTGTTGACTAGTCTCAAATTATGCTGTAAGATTTCATTAGTCCAATTTCTTCCCACCAAGCCCATACTCACAGGCTACAATGGCTGGAAGTGGGTAAATGCATTCACCTGCATCACGATTAACCTTGGGAGGTAGTTCCTCAGTCAGATGATACATTTTTTTGTTTTGTTTTGTTTCGTTTGGGAGCCGAACCATAATACAATATTTCTTAAAGAATCAAGAAAATTGAGAACGGTTTACAGAACTGAAGTTCCTTTGGCAGGGGGAACAGAACAGGGAGAAAGTGTGCTTAGGAAAGGACATATACAATAGTGGAGGGAAGCAGACACTTTGATGGAAGGTATGGTATTAAAACGTATTCAGATCAGAGCAACAGTCCAGCGGGTAGGGCATTTGCCTTGCACATGGCTGACCAGGTTCAATCGCTGGCATCCCATATGGTCCCCTGAACAGTACCAGGAGTAATTCCTAAGTATAGAACCAGGAGTAACCCTGAGCATGACGCCCTCTGTGTATGACGCCCCCAGAAAGAAAATCATCTTTAAAAACCTGGATTAAAAAAGTAGGGAAAATCCCAAATAATAATGGTGGGTCTGGTGTCAAAACATTGAATGTAACCAAAGTAGAGAGAGAATAATGTGGAAATCATCTGCCACACAGGTAGGGGGAGGAGGTGGGATGGTGGGGGGCGGGGGGGCATACTGGGGTTTTTGGTGGTGGAAAATGTGCACTGTGCATCCAAAAGAACAAAAGCAACCGGTGTTGGCGCGGATGTGGTGAGAAAGGGACCCTCCTTCACTGCTGGTAGGAATACCGACTGGTTTAGCCCTTCTGGAAAACAGTATAGATAATTCTCAGGTAAAGGTAAAGGTAAAGGCCCTCCCGTTGATCGTCGATTTGCTCGAGCGGGCCCAGTAACGTCTCCATTGGAGACTTTGTTGTTACTGTGTCTGGCATATCGAATACTCTCGGTAGCTTGCCGGGCTCTCCGAGAGGGGCAGAGGAATTGAACTCGGGTCGGCCATGTTGGCCGCTTGTTAGGCGAACGTCCTACCCGCTATGGTATCGCTCCAACCTCAAAAAACTAGAATTTGATCTCCCATTTGACCCAGCTATAGCACTCCTGGGAATATATCCCAGAGAGGCAAAAAACTATAGTCGAAGTGACATCTGCAATTGTTTGTTCATTGCAGCACTCTTTACAATAGCCAGAATCTGGAAAAAACCTGAGTGCCCGAGATCAGATGACTGATTAAAGAAACTTTGGTACATTTACACAATGGAGTACTATGTAGCTGTTAGAAAAGACGAAGTCATGAAATTTACATACAAGTGGTACTACATGGAAAGTATCATGTTAAGCGAAATGAGTCAGAAAGAGCGGGATAGACACAGAAAGATTGCATTCATCTGGGGAACATAAAGCAACATAAAGGGAGACTAACACCCAGGAATGGCTGAGATTAGTACCAGGAATTTTGCTCCATGAATGGAAGGCCAGCCACAGGCTCTAGGTGAAAAGGAAGCTCAGATAGAGAAGAGAGCACCAAATAAAGGGTGTTGTGAGGACCCTCCCAGGGTGGGAGAAGCATGCTAAAAGTAGTCTATAGACCAAACATGATTGCCACTCAATGCCTCTCTTGCAAAACACAGTACCCAAAAGAAGAGAGAGAGAACAAGGGGGAATACCCTGCCACAGAGGCAGGGTGGGACGGGGGTGGGTGGGTGGGGGGGGATGCTGGGACCCGTGGTGGTGGAGGATGGGCACTGGTAGAGGGATGGGTACTTGATCATTATATAACTGAAACCCAAGCACAAAAATTTGTAAGTCTATAACTGTACCTCATGGTGTTTCACTAATAAAAAAATTTTTTAAAAAAAAGGTAAAAAAAAAATGTGCACTGGTGAAGGAACAGGTGTTTCATCATTGTATGACTGAGACTTAATCCCAAAAGCTTTGTAACTGTTCTCACGGTGATTCAATAAATCAATTTATTTAAAAAAAAAAAAAAGTAAACCTCAGCATTAAGAGTGTAAATCACAGTGCCTCAAATAAAATCTTTTAAAAAGGAGGGGCTGGATAACATTAACAACTTGCCTTGCATTGGCTGACCCGGGTTTGATTTCTGAGACTATATATAGTGTCCTGAGCCCTGCCAAGAGTGATTCCTAAGCACAGATTCAGAAGTAAGCCCTGAATAAGCCAGGTATAGCCCCTATTCCCTCCAGCTTTCAAAAAAATCTGAAAATATGTCAAGTTCCTGATAAATAGCTGAGGCTCACTAAATGTGAATAATTGAATAGCTCACTAAATATGAATTGAATAATTTTTTAAAAAAGAATCTAAAAAATGTGGCATTACTTGGTCTTTTTTCCATTTCTACAGGCCACCCCACTCACCTCTTCCCTGCTGACCACTGAACGGAGCTTGATGACTCCTTCCTTTAGTTCCTGCTCTCCAATAATGGCCACCAGTGGAATGTCCATGCTCTCACAGTAGGACAGCTGAGTTAGCAGTTTAGGGTTGTTCTTATACAGCAGCTCTGCCTGAAAACATTCAATAGATTAAGGGGCTTAGAAGTGACCACACAAACTAAAGGAGCAAGTCCTTCCAAAGAATTAATGAACTACCTTCCTACCCTAAAAGACATGTTAGTGAAGAGTAGAAAGATTTTTAATTCCACCACTGGAAAAGATAAAAATGGGTGTGTTACCTGAATTCAACAAATACTTATAAGGCTTGAATGTCAGCTCCAATGTACCTTGATCCCAGCATCCCAAAGCTCTGCAATTAGCTTCAACCGTTCCCGGAGAAAACCCTTCTGTGGTGTGGCAACAAATACTTGGGTCTCTGTGGTTCGTATCTTCTCACCAAACGTCTATCAGTGAAAGAAGAAGTAAAAACTTTCTGGAGTTGTAGAAATAGTATAATGGGTACGGTGCTTCCTTTGCACCCATCTGACCCAGGTTCAATCTCTGGCATCCATATGATCCTCCAAGCACACTGAGGAATGACCCATGAATGCAGAGCCAGGAGTAAGCCCTGGGAACTGCAAGATGTGAACCAAAACCAAAACAACATGAAAAAAAAAAATCATGAAAAAAAAAAAAAAAACACAAAGTTTCTGTGTACCAATAATCTTTAAAAAAAAAAAAAAAAGGAACATCAGAAGAACTAAATGCTAAAGATGTTAAAGTCTCTGACCCTACTCTACCCCTCCAAAGGCCCTACCTTCATCTGTTGCTCCATAATGGAGAAGATTCGCTCCACTCCAATGCTGAGTCCCACACACGGTACCTTGTGGCCAAAACTGCCCACCAGCCCATCATAGCGTCCACCAGCAGCCACACTGCCTACATTCAAGGCCTTGCCCTCTGCTTGAGCTGGAGCCTGTAGTAGCACTGCTTCATAGATCACTCCTGTATAGTAGTCCAGGCCCCGAGCAAGGCTTAGGTCAAAGGAGATCTGTGGGAGCAAGGCTATAATCACCCCCAGAGAAGTCTTAGAGCCCTTAGAGCCCCAGAGCTCAGCAAGAGGTCCACTCCCAATTCAGCTTACCTTCTCAGCAATTCCAAATAAAGTCACATATTCAAATAGCAGCTTTAGATCCTCGAGGCCCTTTAGGGCCTGCTTGTTCTGAGATAACCTTGGATCCTGGAACATTTGCTCTACCAGGGACACCCCACCTAGAGACACACGAGAGGGGAAGAAAGTCAGTATGATTTATCCAAGTTTATCTCTAATGTTCTAGGTCTCCTCATTTTCTTTAAAAAAAAAAAAAATAATAAGACTGGGGCCGGAGTGATAGTACAATGGGGAGGGCATTTGCCTTGCACGCGGCTGACCCAGGTTTGATCCCCAGCATTCCCTATGGTCTCCCAAGCACCACCAGGAGTAATTCCTGAATGCAGAGCCAGGAGTAACCCATGTAACCCATGAGCATGCTGGGTGTCACCACAAAAGCCAAAGAAAGAAACAAACAAACAAAAACCACACAAAAAAACTGATTTTATAAGACCAAAGTCTTATCTGTTTTGTTTGTTTTCATCTTGAAGGCCACAAGCAGACATAAAGTAATTACAAAAAGTATAATAGGAAATAAATTCAGGCCAGGCTCTGGAGCTGCAAGAAGCAGATTCAGAGGTAAAAGTTCAGAGGCAGAGTGAGAAGTTTCACTCTAACTCTGGTTCTCAAGTGGCTCTGAAAACCCTGATTCTTACCATGACACTGGACATAGTCCCCGACTCTATCAGCCACTTCAGGAGCCAGGCCTCTCATTGTCACCATTTCGTGTCTCACATCGTTCCAAGACACCTGCACAAACACCCAAACATATGCTCAGCCTCTTTTCTAATTGGAAAAGTCAAAGGCAGCTTAGAACATAAGGCCACGAAGACTATACTTTCAGAACATTTTTATAGTTTGTTACTAGAGAAGTTTCTCTGATCATGTAGAGCACCGAAAACCATGAGGAGCCACAGTATCCTCTCCCGCATGTGAAGCCGGTTCTAGGTGTTGCTTTCACAACCACCTTTTACCATTGAGATGGTTTTTCTCTTCCTTTTGTAAGAGTGAGAGGGGGAGGGTGTAGAATATAAGGCCACAATTCCCACTGCAGAGAATTCAGATCTTGCCTCTGAATGTCTCTTCCTTCTGAATGTTTTCTGCGTTTCCAGACTATCTCTTTTCTTCCCTTCTGTCCTTCCCTTACTCCCTCCCTCCATCCATTCCTCTATTCCTGTCCTCCTGTTTTGTTGTGCTGGGGACTAAAACCTGGGCATCACACATACGTGGCATGAGCCCTAGTGTTAAGCTATATACCCTTAGCACCACCATCCCTTCTTTTTCTAAAGAGATATGGATTTGTGGAAACTCTCTTAGGGTCTACTGAAGTATGTCTTCTTTTTTACCTTGTCAAGCTTGTCTATCGAGGAGCAGATGGCATAAAACTTGCTTTCAGGAACACCACAAATGGCAAGCATCCCATCCAAAATCTGCCGATCATTGACCTGTGAATTCAATCAAAAGAACCGAAGTGGCTTATCAATGCCCTTCCCCTCAAAACGTCAGCAGTCCCAACTCTCCAAATACATACAAAAGACAGAAAGGAAACCACACAGGGTGACAGATATAGATGAAGACAGATACACTGAAACGGAGACATCCAGACAATAGCTCTACCGACATTCAGATACAGATATACTGGGAAATTTCGAGAGGATTATTTCACATGGGAGAATCCAGTGTTCTCTGCTGATCATGTACTCTTTCCTTTCTCTCCTCTCACACTTTTCTACATAAATTTCATTCAATAAAAAGTTTTGCTTCACAAACACAAGAAAAAAAATAGAAAAGGAAGGAAAGAAAAAAAGGAAATTCCTAGAGCTATAGGCCTAAAAACTAAGGACACCTGCTGTTCCAACAAGTGTTTTAGGACCTTGAGAACAAATTCAGATTTCTCCCCTCAAGTCACAGCCCTGGCTCACCTTAATGATGAAGTCCCCAAGCTGCAACCCACTTAGGATTTCACAAATGATCTTCAAACACTCAGCATCAGGGATCATTGGATCATACTGACCAGCAATGTCAAAATCCTATAGCCAAGAAACAGATGGAGGGAAAAAAATCTTCACTGAGCAGCAAGTTTCCAGATTATCACCCCAAGTCTATCCTATCACGCTCCCCCACAAGGTCACTTACACACTGGCAGAACTCTCGGTAGCGGCCTTGGACCACGCTTGGGCTCTCTCTCCGCCACACCTTTCCAACATGGTAGCGCTTCATCTTCTTCACTTTATTCATGGCCAGGTAACGAGCAAAAGGAACCTGACATAAACAGGTTAAGGAAGAAGCAAACTGCATCCAGAGCCCAATGCGCTGATTGATGTTAGGGGGGCTGCATCTTTACCTGGAACCCACCCACTAATAAGAGAATAAGGATCTTTAGGCTCGAATGATAGCCGGTAGGGTGTATGCCTTACAGGAAGCCAACCTTCGTTCCATCCCCCAGCATCCCATACAATCCCCCAAGCCTGCCAATGATCCCTGAGAGCAGAGCCAAGCTCTGAGCACCACCAAGCATGCACCCCACAGCCCCCCACAAAAAAAAAGAGAAAATAAGAATCTTTTCTTTCTTGCTGGACTAACAAAAGAGTGGGTAGGGCACTTGCCTTGCATGCAGCCAACCCAAGATCAATCCCAGGCACTGGATATGGTCCCCTGAACACAGCCAGGATTCATTCCTATAAGCAGAGCTAGAAAAAATCCCGAGCATCACCAAAAGTAGCCCAAAAACCAAAATAACAACAAAAAAGCATGTGTTTGACTGACCCCTGGCCACTGCAGTATCAATGACTAAGATGACAAAGAAAAGTAGGGGAGTGAAGGGGCTACATTTTTTCCAAAATTAGGGCTGGGGGCTAGGAGATACGACATTAGATAGGGTGCTTGCTTTGCATAAAGACCATTGGGTTCGACCCATACCACTCTTGATCAAGGCCTCTTGATGCCTGCTAGGAGTGATTCCTGAGCACAGAGCCAGGAGTTAAGCCCTGAGCACTGCTGAGTGTGGCCCCAAAACAAAAGTCAGGGATGGGAAGGTGATGTTCTAGTAGAACATTTGCCTTACGTATATGAAAGCCCTGTGTTCAATCTTTGGCACCACAATATATAAATCTTTGACCTGGCTTTGCCTACAATTTTGTTTCCTAAAATGTCGTTTCTGGGGCCAGAGTGATAGTATAGCAGGTAGGGTGTTTTCCTTGCACTTGGTCAACCCGGGTTCAATCCCCAGCATCCCATATGATCGCCCAAGCACTGCCAGGAGTATTCCTGAGTGCAGAGCCAAGAGTAACCCCTGAGCATCGCTGCAGGTTATCTAAATACCAAAAATAAATAAAATATAGTTTCTTAAAATTTAAGTCAAGATCACCTGAATCTGAAGTCATGCGGGTTCTGGGGCCGAGATCTCCAAGCCTACTCGGATTTGGGCCAGCATCCTCCACCCAGATCCTCCAAATTCCAGTAGGCGGGGGTCACACCCACCAACTGGCCCCCTGGCGCCATGTAATCCCACCAACGGCCAAGACTCAGAGAGTATAATCCCATCAACGGCCAAGACTCAGAGAGTATAAAAACCAGCTCCCGGAACTGCGCGAACACATTCGCGGCCACGCGACATCCTATTATGACATCTTATTATCTCATTCCTACTTTGGACAAACTGGCAGGCTACCGAATGTTGCCTGCCCACACGGCAGAGTCTGGCAAACTCTCCGTGGCGTACCCAATATGCCAAATACCAGTAACAATGATGGGTCTCATTCTCCTAAAGAGCCTTGAATATAATCTCAGGGCTAGGATGAAGGAGACATTACTGGGGCCTGCTCAAGGCAATCGACGATTAACAGGATGATTTGTGATTTGTGATCACCTGAATGGCGGCTTAAGAGACAGTGCAGCATAATGTGCTTGCTTTGCATCCTACAACTCATGTTGAATCCCCAGCACAGCATATATGGTCCACTGAACAGCACCAGGGGTGATCCCTGAGTGCAGAGCCAGGAATACACCCTGAACATTGCAAGACGCAGCCCAAAAATACAACAACCAAAAGATCATCTGCCTCTTAACTAACAGATGCCTGTTTAAAAAAAAAAATTACGTTTTTGGGCTAGAGAAGTTCAAAGGGTAGGGCAGTTGCCTTGCATGAGACAGACGTGGCTTTAATCCCAGGTACTACATACGGTCCCCAAGCCTACCAGGAATGATCCCTGAGTGCAGAGCCAGCAGTAACCCCTGAGTACCACTGGCTGTGACATTACCCCACCGTCCACACAATCCCAAATAGATTCTTTGTTTGCGGGCCATGTCTGCAGTGCTCAGGGGCTACTCTTGGCTTTGCACTCAGGGATAACTTCTGGTGATGCTTGGAGGAACCTTAGATAGTGCCAGAGATTAAACCAGGGTCAGTCATATGTGAGACAAGCACCTTGCTCCCTGTAGTATCTCTTCTGCCCCCAAAACAACATGGTTTTCTTTTGTTTTTGTTTGTTTTTTAAACTAAATTTCAGAGGGCCTGAAATTTTTGTTTCTGTAAGCTTCCCCCCTGGGATTCTGACATTCATTATAGTTCAATGACAGTTCTCTAGACCAGGCTCTGCTAGAACTGCATTTTAGGAGACACCGGAAGTAAAGGCTATTGCCACATAAGCCGATAGGGTCCCAAAGTCCTCCCAGCCTATCAGAGAAAGCTCCATGGTTTGGAGAGAATAAGCCGGCTCCAGCACATAAAAGGATACAGTAAGGTCATAGCGCAGAGATAAGAGCTCGCCCCCCTGATCCTTCAGATCATACATAAGCTGAGATTCCTCGCCATACTTCTCAGTGAGTGTTTCCTACAGGAGTCAAACAGAAAGAGTTACAATTTCCAGGACTCCAGAACAGAGGCTAGCAGGCAGCTGAAGAAACAGGGATCCAGCATTTCCCCCGCTCTTACTTTTAGCTCAAATGCTGGGGTATCCAATGCCTTTGCTCCATGACGTTTAAAGCAGCTGACAATCAAATCAAGAATTTTCTCCCTCACAACCACTTGTTGGGGACTAAAGTCTCTAGTGCCCTAGAAAACAAACATTGCCAGAGAAAACAAACATTAAAAACACACACTTATTGGGGCTGGAGAGATAGCACAGCGGGTAGGGCGCTTGCCTTGCATGTGGCCGACCTGGGTTCGATTCCCAGCATCCCATATGGTCCCCTGAGCACCGCCAGGAGTAACTCCTGAGTGCAGAGCCAGGAGTAACCCCTATGCATCGCCAGGTGTGACCCCCCCCAAAAAAAAACCCACTTATTTAAGACAAGAGTTTAACTATGCATATAATCTGAAGTCTGGAGTTAAAAAGTCTCCATTCAGATGACCCAAAACCCTATATACTATCTTAAGAATAGAGAAGTTTTGTCCATTTGTTTGATTTTTTTAATCAGTCTGAAAAGGGTCAGGAAGAGATGAGCAGAGCAGTGTGTTGCTCTTTAAGGCTCTCTAGTGGGACAGGGTAGAAAAAAGGTATTACCTTAGGGGTCTTGAGAGTGAAATTGGCCTTTTCTTGTGGTTTCAGCTCGGATGTTATCAAGGCCTCTGCAACCTGCCAGAAGAAAGTATGTGAGCAATCATCCCCCTCCAGACAGGCCTGCCACCTTCCTGGCACTGTCAACCACCACCTGGAATAGTGAAGAACACAGAACCCTCCACCACTGCTATCGCCAAGCCTCAGGGGTAACAACTCAGAGCATCTCCAGGTCTCCGTTTCTGCTTAAAGAGGCCAAAATAAGAGTTTGTCTCTCAGATTTGGAGGGGGGGAGGGAAGAACCTGAAAACAAAATAGAATGAGTCCTAGGACATGCCTGCAGAATGAACAGGAATGGATTTCCTGATTGAAGTCAAACACCCAGACAGGGGGAGGGGGAGAGAGCAGACAGGGCTCCACTGTTTGTGGACAGAGGCTGTGCTGTCTGTGACCCCAAGATGCAAGCAAGTTCTGGCTGGAAAGGGTATGCAAAGAGCACAGCAACTAAGAAGATGCTGAGCGCAAGGGCAGGATTCCAATCCCCTGAGAGCACTACAGCCCAAATGTGCCAGAGCACAGCTAAATGAATTCAACCCTTGGTAGATAAGGGATACAACCAAAGTGTGTGATATCCAGCATGCAAGTGTGTGAACAATGAAACTAATGAAAGACCCCCATGAGCACAGCTAAAATGTGAAATAAAGCTTGTACATGGTCCCTCACACATCATCACCAACAGAGGGAAGGTAAGAGGGAGAAATAGATAACACATACTGTAGAATGACTGGACTGCAAATAAGTTACAAAATAGCTGAGCCCTGTTGTTCTCGAGAGCACTAAGCACTTGCTAAGAAGACAGAAGAAAAAAAAAAAAAGGCCTTTTCAAAGACAAAACAGAATCAGTGACTATTCCCAACAAGCTGTGTGCCATTCCAGAAAAATTGAGGTGTGGCAGTTTCATGCTTTGAAATCTCTCCTCCACAACATGGAGTTCAACTCCACAATCTTGCAGCAACAATTCTAAAATGCAAACATCTTGAAACGCTGAACAAAAATTTGGGAAGAACTAATTTAGGGGCAAATTCTAAGTTGGATTCAATCTATCTATGGTGTTTACTCATCTCATTTGTGGTGATATTCATATATTAAACTTGAGAAATTTTAATGTTTGCTTGCCCTCAGAAAGTTCAGGGGAGCTAGAGTGATAGTAAGGCGCCTGCCTTGCAAGTGGCCGACCTGGGGTTCGATCCCCGACACCCATCTGGTCGCAAAAGCCCTGACAAGTGATCTCTGGTCCAACCAAGAGAAAAGCCTTAGCGGGAGGCCCCTATCCCGCAAAAAAAAAAAAAAAAAAATTAAGTTTAGGGAACAAACCGTGGACCTGATATAAATGTTTCTTCTTATGTAACGGCGGACAAATCATTTAACCTTGCAGTCTCCATTTCCTCAAGTGTAAAACAGAAATAAAACCCAAACTCTCGACTGGCTAACCTATCTAAAACGCTCTGCTAGCTCTGTGCCGGTACACGGTGGGCACTGGTCCCTAGATCCCACCGCAGCACAGCTGGCGTGCAAGCCGCAAAGTCCACGCGTTCAACCCTGGAGATCCAGTCCCGTTGGACCGATGCACGTCAGCCCGGCTCACCTGGCTCTGGGAACGGACAGCCCGGAGGCACACAGCACGCGGCGGCCGCAGGAGCGGGCCGAGCAGCACCGCCCAGGCCCTCCCCTGCAGGAGTCCGAGCTGCGGCATCCTACGGTACGACGCCGGTTTTCCGTGCTAGGAGACAAAGGACCCGACAACCGAGGCCGAGCGGACCCCGGAAAAAGTAGGGCACTAGAGGTGAAGACCGAGGACCAGCGAGGCGCTTCTACAACTCTCAAACTCAGCAGGTCAGCTAGAGTTCTTTCAGGTTCCCTCTCACTTTTGGCAAACCCAGTAGCAACCGGAAGTGACTGTTGCGCTCGCCGGAACCTCTCTAGGCTGGCGGGCTGGCAACTCGGTAGCCGGAAGTCATCCGAATCTAGACTGCGGCGGGTACCGCCGACCCGGGCAGCTGTCGGTTCTTCTCAGCAACCAGGATGGCAGGACGTGGAGCGCTGGAGGAGCTGGTGCGACTTCAGGGGGAGCGCGTGCGGAGCCTCAAGCAGCAGAAGGCCAGCGCCGAGCAGGTGCGACCCAAGTATCAAGCCAAAGCAGGGCCAGGGAGGATAGACAGGTGGAGTGGACTGCAGAAAGGACAGAGATGTGGGGAGAAAGGGCCGCGCTGGCAGGGAGCACCGGCTGCATGGGGAGATAACCCGGCTGGGCCCGGAGAGAAGCAGTGCTAGCTGGGAGGAGAGAGATGGGCCGCAGATCCTGATGAGGGACTGAGACAATGAATGGCGGGGGAGGGAGGGAGTGGCTGGTGTTGATAGCCCCGCGCCTGCCTTTTCTACAGATAGAAGAGGAGGTAGCGAAATTACTGCAGCTGAAGGCACAGCTGGGCCCAGATGAAGGGAAACAGAAGTTTGTGCTCAAAACTCCCAAGGTAAACACCATATCTTTTGTGGCGGGTGAGACAGGTGTCACAAAGGTATGTATGTCTGCCTTCCTGAAACAGATCACGACGGAGCAACTGAAGTACTAGACACTAGTTGTTGGGCCGGATTGACCTCCGCGTGTCATTCTGGGAGAGCTAAGTGATGACAGAAAGTAGGCCAGCTGGGTGTTTAAGGGTGTCGGCCTGTTACTGCTATTCTTTCATTCAGAAAATATTAACTGAGTACTTACTCGGTTCTTAAAACTGTATCAAGTACTGAGTACACCATGGTGAAAAACAGCTCTCCCTCCTGGAGCTTATATTCCACTAAAGAAAACAACGGTAGTAAAAAAAAGTTCACACTCCTGGATATGTAATTACAAATTGCTTTAGGTAATATATTAAAATAACAAGTATGTTCAGAGACAAATAATGCGATGCTCACGGGGGTGGAGTGGTGTTGGGGGTTCTGAGAAGGCCTCCCTAAAGAAATTATGGAAATAGTAAGGCACTTGCCTTGCAAATAGCCCATTGGTTTGTATCCCCAGAACCGCCTATGGAACCGCCTATGGGCAGCCAGACTACCACCAGGGGTCTTTCTTGAGCACAGAGCCAGGAATAGCGCCTAAACAGGTGGGGATGGGGTGTGGGGGTGGGGCTGTTCCTCATCCTAAAAGAAAAAATGGTGAAGTAATAACAGGTCCAGTAGGCAGCAAGGGGAAGATTGTAAATTAAGGCAGATGGTCCAGGTAGAGAATGGAAACCTCAACTCAGGAAAGAATAGTGGTAGTTTCCAGAACTAAACAGGGAGCGTGGAGTCGAATGAGTTTTGCCGTTCCTAGGTCAGTCTCCAGGATTTTAGTTCTATGAAGAGAACATCTTACTTCCTCATCTGGTTCCATTGGTAGTTCATTCATTTATCAATTGTACTTGCTGCTGATTTCTAGGTATTTGAGTAGTACATTTATCCTGAGAGGCTGAGCTTAGATGCTTGGAACTCAGTGATATTCAGTGAATGTGCATGAATTTTGAATCCCTAAGGGGAGTTATATTTAGATAATACCTTCAAAAGGTAAAGAAAGACTAGGCACTAGAAACACTGTAAGGAACTTGTCTTACACGTGGCTGACCCAGAGTCTACCCCTGGCACCCCAAAAAGTCCCCTGAGCCCCGCCAAGTATGATCCTGAGCATAGAGCTAGGAGTAAACCCTGAACACAGCCAAGTGTAGGGTTCCCTCCCTGCCAAAAAAAAAAAAAATTCTTGGAAACAGAACTAAATTAGGGGGTCAGAGGAATAGTACAACAGGTTAGACACTTGCCTTACATCAGCCAAGGTTTGATCCCTGTCACCATATGGTCTCCTAAACTCTGCCAGAAGTGATCCATGAACACAGAGCCAGGAGTAAGCCCTGAGCACCACTGGGTGTGGCCCAAAAAAAGAAAAAAAGTATAACTAAATCAAAAAGGTATACTTTTTAATTAAAAATAGGACTTAGATAATAGCAAATGGTTTTGGTAATAGGAAATTATTTGTGCTCTTTTTACAATTTGTTTGCCTATAGAAAAATCTATGCTTCACATTTTTCATTATAGACATCTAGACATTATTCTTTGCTTTTAAGTTCTATCTCTGATTGATTGGCTGATTTTAACCCCAAGGGCACACGAGACTACAGTCCCCGGCAGATGGCAGTTCGGGAGAAGGTGTTTGATGTCATCATTAGCTGCTTCAAGCGCCATGGTGCTGAAGTGATTGATACACCTGTGTTTGAATTAAAGGTGAGTGACAGAGAAGGGGACTGCACAGTTGGAGAGTGGGTCTGTGAATAAGAAAGGAAGTAATGAGGGACCAGAGAGATGTACAGTGGGTGGGGCACTTGCCTTCCACATGGCTGACCCAGGTTTGATCCTCAGCACTCCATATGGTCCCCTATGTCTGCCAGGAGTAAGCCCTGAGCACCGCCGGGTGTGGCCCAAAAACAAAAAAAAAAAAAGAAGAAGAAGAAAGGGAATAATGAGAATGAAGGCCCAAAGGTCAGTTTCCTTCTGTGGACAAAGCAGAAAAAGGAGTTGGGACTGACTTAGAAGGACAGGCCTGCGTTTTCTTTAGCTTGGCTGTGGCCAGTGGCTTCCTAATGAGAGGTCTTAGAAGTGGAAGAGTTAGGGCTCCTAAAACTATATTCCATGGCACTTGGACTTGAAATATTTGCTAGAAACATGGAAACCATACAGATAAAGTATGTGTGAGTATGTATGTATGTGTGTGTGTGTGTATATATATATATATATATATACGCACACACATATTTATGTATATATAAAACAAATCATTCTCCCTCCCCCTCCTCCCAACTTTTGAGCCACATTTGGTGGTCCAGGCATATGCTGGCTGGACTTAGTGCTCAGGGAACCAGGCGGTGCTGGGGAGAAAAGCCAAAGCTCCTGGCATGGAAAACATGCTCTAGCCCTTGAGTTATCTTTCCAGTCCCAGAGTTTCCTTTATTTATTTACTTTGCAGTACCTAGGATTGAATTTAAGGCCTCACACATGTGCAAGGCAAGTGCTCTGTAGCTGAGCCGTACTCCCTGCCCAACCACTGTTGTCTCGATGGGCTCTAATCTCGAACCTCCTATGTGAAAACGTGCCTCTAACCCATTGAGTGGTTTCTCTCTAGCCCCTCTTCTCTCTTCTTGAGCTTTGTTCCCCCTGCCTCTTTTTATGTCTTTAATTTCAAATGAAGTTTACACTGTTTATTTTATTTGAATTTGATTATTTTGTTTTGGGGCCACACCCAATGAGAGGCTCAGGTGTTACTCTTAGTGCTGCACTCAGGAATTGCTTGGGGTGGTGCTCAGGGGACCATATGGAATGCTGGGGATTGAACATGAATGCAGGTTGGCCATGTGCGAGGCAAACACCCTATCCAAATTACTATCGCTCAGGCCGCATCATGTGTGTTTTGATTTTATTTAATTTTATTATTATTATTATTATTTTGCTTTTTGGGTCATACCTGGCGATGCACAGGGGTTACTCCTGGCTCTGCACTCAGGAGTTACTCCTGGCAGTGCTCAGGGGGCCATATGGGATGCTGGGAATCGAACCCGGGTCAGCTGCGTGCAAGGCAAACACCCTACCCGCTGTACTATCTCTCCAGCCCCTGTGTTTTAATTTTAAGTTGCAGTTAAAATCCTATTCTTCAAATAATCCTTTACACATACTTCATCTAAAGCACTTCTTATTGGGCACTGCATATGGAGCCCTGAGCCCCTCTGGTAATGGCCTCTGAATGCTCTGTGTAACTCAAATCCAGAAAATAATTTTTAAAAATTTCTTAAAAAATAAACTACTTCTTGGTGGTGAGAAATGGACACTGGTGGAGGGATGGGTATTTGATCATTATATAATTGAAACCCAAGCACAAAAATTTGTAAGTCAACAACTGTACCTCATGGTGTCTCACTAATAAAAATTTTTAAAAAAATGACCCTAAAAATAAATAAATAAATAAACTGCTTCTTATTGAGCTGGGAAGTTAGCTCAAAGGGCTAGAGCACATCCTTTGCCAATGGGAATCCTTGGTTGATCTCTTGTACTGCACAATCCTCAGGGCACCTATGAATGGCCAACAAAAAAACATAATAGCATAGGCTGGGGTTGGAGTGAGTGGGGCATGCCTTGTATTCTATCCCTGGCACTATATATGGTCCCCAGAACCCCTCCAGGAGTGAGCCCTGAATGTAGAGCCAGGAGTAAGCCCTGAGCATAGCCAGGTGTGGCCAAAAAAAAAAAAAAATAGGAGTGACAAGGTAGCTCAATTGGCTGAGTGCATGCTTTGCATACAGAAGACATAAGTTCAATCCCTGTGCCATCTGGTCCCCCTAGGACCACTGGAAGAGACCCGCCACCCCAAAGCCCTTAAGCAGATATAATCCCTGAGCACAGCTGAGTGTGGTTTAAGTGTGACTGGAAATGTAGCTCCATAGTGGAGCATTTGTCTTAAAAAAAAAAAAAAAAAAGGACTGAATGAGGGCCAGAGAGATAGTGTAGCGGGTAAAGCACTTGCCTTACATAAACCCAACCTAGGTTCAGTCCCTGGCATCCTATATGGTTCCCTGAGCACCACCCAGAGTACCCCCTGAACTTCGCCAGTTGTGACCCAAAAACCAAAAAAAAAAATAAATACTTTAATGCCCAAATACATTTGCTGAAATATGAAACACTTTAAAAATAAGAATAACCTAACGTTTGATTAATGTTAGGATGATGTTTCTCACCTAATATTGTGCTGTGTTTTTGTTTTTTATTCTCTCTCAGGCAGTCTCTTGGGAGGGTCGCTGCTGGTGGTGTTTTGGGAACTACATAATGCTGGTGATGGACATGGGCCTCCCATGTGCAGAGCACATACACTAGCC